GGACCCGAGATCATGGCCTGAGCCAAAACCAAGAGTCTGCGGCTCGCCTGACTGTGCCACCCAGGCACCCCAGTTGGCTGTAGTCTTGTAACAGTGTTTATTCATTTCTGCTGCTTCAGAAGTCATTCAGGTGGACCAGATTCTGATCAATTCTACCTTGTATATATCTTTCAAATCTGTTTACACTCTGCCTGCCCCAATACTGTTTCCCTGATTTCCTCCCTTCTCATCTCTTACCAAAGTTGTTACAAGCTCAGCTCCTCGGGTTTTGTCTAACTCCAGAAGGTCTTCAAGACTCTTTCTGACGCACAGAATAATCTCATCACTCTGTAGCTCAAACTATTTCAAATACCCCATGTATGTACATGTACACATCGCTTAAAGAACAACACTTAAACTCAGGAGGATGGCATTAAAGATACGCTTTGGTACCGCTGGATTTTCCTTCACCTTCTACCTTCGGTTTGCTTTTACATTATTATGCTTAGGGAGCTCCTGAAACACCGGGACCGAGAGGGCAGCTTTACAAAGGTAGAGACCCAGGCGGTACTATGCTGTCGTTCTGCAGTGCTCCCCGCGTGGCTCTCACCTCCAAAACGACCACAGAAGCACCTGTTTCATGCTGACATTCTCCCAAGCAGGATGAAGGAGGTGTGAAGTGCTCCTCCTCTCCGTGATTCTCAGCGAATCTCAGAACTTTAGTGAAAGCTACTTAAAAAGAGAAACTCTCTTTCTGTTGGACTTGGAGCTTTGAGGCTAGTGCATACAGCCTGGACAGTGTCTGCCTGAGGGTGGAACTCACATAGAGGAAGCCCAGCTCTTAAACCCAGAAAGAAACAGTTCTTTTCGCCTTGTCTGATCCCTAGCATCAAGCCAGAGCTAAAGCCAAGATATACCTTTGGGTTTTTATTTTTTTATGATTTACTTATTTGAGAGAGAGAGAGAGAGAACATGGGCACATGAGTGGGGAAGGGGCAGAGTGTGCGAGAGAAATCCTCAAGCAGACTCCCCACTAACCGCAAAGCTGGATGGAGGGCTAGATTCTAGGACCCTGAGATCACGACCTGAGCTGAAATCAAGAGTCAGATGCTTAACTGACTGAGCCACCCAGGCGCCCTTACCCTTATATTTTTAAATGACATGTGTGATCAAAAATTGAGGCCATGTTTCCTAAGGTGGATAAGGAAGAAAGTGGAGACAATAAAACTTGGAATGATAGATTGACGTGGTGGTGGTGTGGGAGTTGATAGACAGTGGGTCTTAATGAGATGAAGGATGTGGCACACACTTCTTGGGTGAGAAAGCTGGGTGTGCAGCAAAGAGGTTCAGATGTTAGATCTGCGGGTTTGGAAGTAAGTGGTACCATTTCCGGTGATGATATTTAGGACGTGACTTGAGAGAGTAGATATCTCAGGGGGTGTAGATGAAGAATGTCCACAGAGAAGGAGGTCAAGAAAGTGAGAGGCCAGTGAGTTTGATTATTTCATACCAGTGGCCCCTTGGTGTAGGCCAATGACATGTCTGAGTTTAATTTAGCAAGAACAGAATCATCAGGGGCTGAGGTCCACTTCTCTTCTGGTTTGGTCTTTCCTAGGGATGGATCTTAGCATGAACTGGAGACTAGCCTATTTGGGCAATCCTCCAGAAATATTATGTCTTACTTTGGATAAGTACTGTGAGTTCAATGTCATTCTCAATGCCGGGCACCTGCAGTGTAGTTCAAGGTAGAGCCATAAATATTAATAGTGATCTGGGCTGGGGATAGGATTGACAGCCTCTTTTGATGGCAGAGAAGTCTTAGAAAGGTGTGGAAATAGGTCACAGGAATACCCTTGGGTAGAGCCTAGATTCTCCTCAGGCAGAAGTTTCTAATTCATTCTAGAACAGAGATTCAAGGGTCTTCAAGTCCCCAAATTTCAATGTAATGAAGCGTGACTTTAGGAGCTTAACCTGGAAAAAATTTACATCAGATGAAACTCCACGGCTATGTCAACCATCCAAAATGAAAATCCATGTTGGGGGGCGCCTGGGTGGCTCAGTGGTTTAAAGCCTCTGCCTCCGGCTCGGGTTGTGATCCCAGAGTCCTGGGATCAAGCCCCGCATCGGGCTCTCTGCTCAGCAGGGAGCCTGCTTCCCTTCCTCTCTCTCTGCCTGCCTCTCTGCCTACCTGTGATCTCTGTCTGTCAGATAAATAAATAAAACCTTAAAAAAAAAAAGTTCTAAAAAAAAAAAAAAAAAAGAAAATCCATGTTGGCAACTCAATGAGTTAACTTGTATAAGTTTATAATTGATAAGCAAGTTAAACATTGATATCTGTCTTTCAAGGGTAAGAATTTATTGTTAGAACAGTTGATTTTTTAGAGGCATTTCTTGTGTGAAAATAGAGAGCAGAACAGTTAGAGCAAAGACATTTAAAAGTGATTCACATTTAAGATGGTTAGTCTTTTAGTTTGTTTTGTATTGTTGTATGGCTAGGGACCTATAATCTACTCAACCAAGAGCGGTATCTTGAGGCATAAATTAAGAAAGAGAGGGGCTGGAATATAGTTTGTCTTTATTCCACTGGAAATTACCATTTGATTTATCAAAAGACCATTTCTACCAGGAAGCAGGTTATTCAGAAATGAAGAAATACAAATGGCAAGTAAACACTGAAAAAAAATGCCCCACTTCACTGGTAATCAAAGAGATGCAAATTAAATCAATGATACCCAGTTTTTACCTATCAAATTGACAGTTCTGCTGTGGGTGACTAACTCGGTGATCAATCACTTCGGTTTTTCCTTACCTCCCATTTCCCATCACTGGAAATTAAGTGACGCAAAGGTCAAGGTATAAATCATCACAATGAATTTCAAGATCATTAAAGAAAGCAATTTTGTTGGAATTTCTGAACTGTGAATGTCAAAGCAAAGTTTCCTCTAATCGCAGACCTAAGACATTTAGAAAATTTTTCTCTACACAAATGCTCAGAAACCAATATTATTGAGGGAGAGCAAAGACAAAGAATTGGCACTCTTCCAATTCTAAACCTTCTCCAATGCGTTATTTCTGAGTGGAAGTCCACCAAAGAATGGTCAGGACCTCTTCACCTCATCAGACCTAAATGCCTGGGCTCCCATTATTCTTTAAGAAATGACTTTGCTTTTACTACGTTTTCTGTCAAGCAACATTTCCCTAGGAATAGGCAGCCTGAAACGTAGCCTGCATTTTTCGGTAATGGATTCACTGAGTTGCTGCAAAAGAGTGCCTATTTATTTTTATTAAAAACATAGAGCTGTTCTAAAGATTCTGTTTCTGAGTGATCTCTGTGCCCAACATGGTGCTTGAACTCACAACCGGGAGATCAAGAGTTGCGTGCTCCCCCCACTGAGCCAGCCAGGCCGCCGGAGACCGAGTGTGTTGTAAGAGTCGATGTTACATTCCTCCCCTACTTAAATATATTGAAGAGTATTTCCCCAACATCCTAAAGATCTCAAAAAGAAGAAGAAAAAACCTTTTTCTTCTCCTAAACCACCATCTTCAAGTCTCTTCACATGATGGTGTTTGGACAGTAGTTCTTTGAAGTCTTGGGTGGTCACCCTTTCCAACCGTCTTCCACAGCTCTCAGGGGGAATCAACAGGGAGTAACTATTGTGTGGCCAGCTGCTACCTGCACCCCAACCCCATCCTGCCACACACACATGCACACCTTTCTTCCTCTTCTCGCTGCTATTACCACCACCATTTTGCTCTTCTCTTCAAATATACCTCCCACCACCTCCACAATACACTTTTTAGAGCTGGGAGAGACCTTAAAAATTATTCAGTCTTGGAGCACCTGGGTGGCTCAGTCGGTTAAGCGTCTGCCTTCGGCTCAGGTCATGATCTCAGGGTTCTAGGATCGAGCCTCGAGTCTGGCTCTCTGCTCAGCAGGGAGTCTTGCTTCTCCCTCTCCTTCTCCCTCTCCCCCTGCTTGCACCCCCCCCAATAAATAAGTAACATCTTTTAAAACAAAACAAAACAGAACAAAAACAATATATCGTGGCAGTTTCACCTTCATCCCCTGTGCAACAGAGAACATATCCCAAAACGTCTTCAGACCAAGATACAAAAATTTCATGAGACACCCCAAAACTGGTTATTCAACTCACATCCCCCTGTCTGTGTAGAGAGTATTAAGTCAGGGACTGCTGGTGAGGAGAGATGAGTTTTGGAGAGAGCTGGTAGGGTTCTGTGAGTTCCTCCTGCCTTCCCCAAGGATGCCTGCTCCTCCTCTCAAGTCCAGGGGAAGTCCCTCAACAGGACGACTCACAGAGCTCAACACGTGCCCCCAGCGGGTTGGGAACGTGTGTTGAGGACAACCTGATTAATCTGAAGAGGGCGGCCCTTGCTGGCTCTCTTCTCGAGGAGGAGAGAAGGAGAGGTTGCCGGTGTGATGGGACTAACCTCCATTCTCCTTCCTTGGGGCAAAGGACGAGTGGGTGTTTTCTATAGCCCAGAAGCAGAGCGTGCATGTGGAAGAGCCAGCATGGGAAGGTCTCAGAGTCCATCCACCGGGACTCCCCGGGAGGGGTGTGGCTACACCCAAGCGGTGCCTACAAAAGGCACATTTCAGTTCGCGCAGGCGCTAATTTTGGTCACAGGCCGCGGGGACACGTGGTCTATCAGAACCCCGTCTTCTCACTGTAACAGCTCCCCACTCCTTCCAAAAAAACCCAGGTCGCACAACCCCAGATCTCGATCCTTGAATGTCTGTTGCCTGCAGTCCTTCCGGGGCCAGAGAGACAACAGAAATCAGCCCAGCTGTTTCTAAGTAGAAAAGTATTTAATGCAGGAAAGAATTTAGGGGTGAAAATAATTGCTGCGAGGGTCCGGAGCGGGGCAGGCTCTGGATGGGGCCCCCAGGGATGACTCCGAGAACAAGACTGGCTCCTGGACTGCTGCTGTAGGTGTCTGAGCACGATGCTGGGGGGTCGCGGGTGGCGGGGGGAGGGTGGGGTCAGGAATCCACGCTACAGCTGTGTCTCCAGGAACAGGAGTCAGCGGGCTTCCAGGCCATTTACACAGGCTATGGTCCCAGCAGAAAAAAAGATGCCATGTACGGTGTACCCTCGTTCTCCACTCCACTCAGTCCTGAATTCAAGTCCAGATGCATGCATGTGATTCATAAAACAGAGGTCCTTAAGAGAATTGGATGAAAGTGGTTTTAAGCTTTCCAGCCTCTAAAAAAACAAAAGACAAAAAACAAAAAACAAGCCAACAAACAAAAAACCCTAGAGAAGCCAGGCAGGTTAGAATAGTACATGAGCCAATCCACTGCAACCACCACACTTTATCTCTGTCTCCATAGACTTTTGGATTTGGTGGGTCCCATTCTCCAGCAGCTTCCCAAAAAAATGATGCAGAGCAAGGAATTTTTTTGAGAAATTTCGTGCCTATGTGGGAGGCCACAATAAGGCTTGAGACGGGGACGAAACCAGGCCCTGACTTGGGCCTCCTTTAAAGGCTGAAGAGCCGCACAAAAGGCTTAGGTCGATAAAGTCGAGCAGCCCTGAGAAAGGGTCTGTGCTGTGTGTTGCGCGCTCGCCTACGTGACTTCCCACACGTTGGCTAGTCAGATAGAGACGATTTGGTCGGGGTCATGAATTCTTGGCTGGTCCTTGCTGTCCTTGCACGGGCTATAGACTACGCCACTGTAAGACTGTGCTGTGCTTCCATAAACTATGTCTTGAGTGGCCTTGAAGTCAGTACATCTGGCGCTAGAGGGTCTGCTATTGGTGCTTGGGAAATAGATAATGGGAAAGCTTGAAGGATTTTCTGTGCATGTTACAAACTCTTCAATAATCAGCTAAAAATAGATACTTTCTTATGATTGTTTCTGTTAGCTATATAATGCCTTGCTGCCTTGAATAAAATTGGCACTATTGGACATCCTCCTTGGTGCTCCTCCTGCCCCCATCTCTGTCTCTTAATTTCTTTCCACCATCCTCTTACCCTCTCGACCCTGGTCAATTTGTCGCGCCGGCCGCGACATGTCTAAAATGTTTTTATTTTACCCTCATATTTACTTAATAGCTTGCCTTAAAGTTTTATGGTCAGAAATCATTTTCCATCAGAATTCTGAAGACACTTTGGCTCTGTCGCCCAGATTCCAGTGTTGTGCTTGAGAAGTCCTAAACATTTTCATTCTTAACCATTTGTGTGGAAACAACTGTTTTTTTCCTCTCTGCAAGCTTTTCTTTCCTTATGTCTGGTTTTATAACATGTTGCAATGATGCAACTTTCTCTTTTGCTGTGGGTTCTTTCATTATGGATTCTCTTGTTTTTCAATATGAGGATTTTTTTTTGTATCTGTTTTTGATTTGAGAATTTCCTTTATCTTCACTTCTTCACTCTCTTCCTGAAATGTCTGAAACTTGGATGTAAGATCTTTTGGATCTTTCTCCTGATTTTTTTTTTTTTAAGATTTTATTTATTTATTTGACAGACAGAGATCACAAGTAGGCAGAGAGAGAGAGAGGAGGAGGAGGAGGCAGGCTTCCCGCTGAGCAGAGAGCCCATTGCGGGGCTCGATCCCAGGACCCTGGGATCATGACCTGAGCTGAAGGCAGAGGCTTTAACCCACTGAGACTCCCAGGTGCCCCTTTCTCCTGATTTTCTTATTATTATCTCCCACTTTCACTCTCTTTGTGTCTTGGTTTTCCCTTCTTACTAGATTTCCTGAACTTTATCTTTCACTCTTAACAGTGAATTTATTTTTCACTGGGCTTGAACTCACAACTCTGAGATCAAGACCTCAGCTGATATCAAAAGTCGGCTGTTTAACTGATTGAGCCACCCAGGAGCTCCTTTCCTGTTGAATTTAAAATTTTTGCTATTGTCCTTTAATTTCCAAGAAGTTTTTGTTGTTGTTGATGCCTTCTGGTTATTTTCTCTTTACACCATACTGTTTTTGTTTCATGGATACATTCTTGTATTTTCTCTCTGGTACTATTATTATTTTCAATTTTTTTTTCTTTTCTAGATGTGGCTTAATCAGACGCACCCAAAGTTTTATTTTGGTCCTGGCATTGTCTGCTTCTTCTGACCTCATTTTATTTTATCTAGTAGTTTGTTTTGGCCTCTGACTTTCCACACTAGGTTTCAGCTTCCTTACTTCTTCTAAGTGAATTACCAAGGGTTCAACTACTTTTATCTTCTAAAATGTGGTTGACACCCTTGTCTTGTCTTCTCTTCTTTTTGTCCTGGTGGGTTTAAGTCTTCCTTATTATGTTAATCCTTTTTTTTTTCTTTTAAAGATTTTATTTATTTATTTGAGAGACAGCGAAAATGAGAGAGATCACAGAGGGAGAGGGAGAGGAAGAGGCAGACTCCACACTGAGCAGAGAGCCGGATGTGGGGCTCGATCCCAAGACCCAGGGATGGTGACCTGAGCTGAAGGCAGACGCTTAATGACTGAACCACCCAGAAGCCCTCTTTTTTGGTTAGTCTATTACTCCCCCGAGGTTTTGGAAATGAACAAGGATAAACATATGTTCAACATGCTATATTTTATTTATTTATTTTTCAATACTCTGTATTTTAAAAAATGACTTTGATGTGTGAGGAACAAAGATCCGAAGAGTGAGGAGCTCTGCCCGAGGTCCAAACACTGGCTTGTGGGAAAGACAAGCTAGTCCTTAGTTTCTCTGACTTTAAGGTTAAGCTTATCATCAATTTCTGCTTTACCATTCCTTCCCTCCTACCACCAGCACTTATAACCACCAGCTATTTTTCCTGTATCATTCGTTCACTCATTCATTCATTTTCCAAACCCATCTTCCATGTTGTATATATGCCATAGCTAGAACATGCCTGGCATGGAGTAAGGAGTCAATATTTAATTATTGAATAAATTAATGAAAAGGTAGGTGACCTAGACCTTAGATTTCCCCTCACTTAGGATTGTGCTTTGAAGGAAGACAAAGTCTTCCCCAGGTGATGGTTGATGACAGGATTTCAGACATTTTGACTTGGGGTTTGGGAAGATAACATCTAACCTTCTCTGTTAAAAGGCAGAAAACAAGGTGACTGGAAGCATAAAATCTGAAGACAGAGATAGGTTTCAAGTCTTGGGTTCAAATCCCAGTTACCTCGTAATTTGCATAGTCTCTTCCCCCTTTCCAAAAAGTACGCAAATTTGAGTTTTAAAGCCCCAGATCACTGTATTTTTTCAATTTCTTCTCCCTCCTGCCCCATAATTGTTCTCCCCTTTCAGAGTTGCATGGTGTCTGCTTTTGAAAAAAGGAGGCATTTCTTTCTCCGTCTGCATGGCTAAGTGCTAACTATATTGTAGAACTTGTGTGAGTCCTCTCCTCCACAGGCTAGAAAAGTCATTCTTTATTGTCTTGGTATTTTCCCCTAAATCTTCAGAGTATGCTCACTGTAGTGCTTAACAATGCTTTGGCTTTTTATTAACCCTGGGCATAAATTCTGACCTTTAGTGCTTTTGGCTGAAGACCACAGGAAGATAGTATTGCAAGTAATTAGATTTTACTTCTAGCCCTTATTTCTAATTGGTCCATTACTTCTTGGTAACTTAATACAGCTAAGGATAAAATCCTTTCAGATTACTGAATAACCCCTTTTTTTAGGTCCTATAGAAATTATTATTGAGTTAAGGTTTTATTCTGGGAACTATCAGACTATGGCAGAACTCCTAAAACGTTTCCTAAAAGGTTACATAGACTAAAAATCTGTCCTGTTTGATCACTTTTGGCCTCCAATAAATGTTTCCTAAAACAGTGAGGTGGGTGAGGCACTTTCCTTCTGCTGTTGCTTCTAGGATACACACGGAGGCAGTGCAGTCTAATGGATAGATCCCAGGTTGCAGCCTGGCTTTCCCTGCAGAGATCTAGGCGTTGACCAGTAGTACGGTTATGCTCACTGGCGTACGTTATTACATCTATACATTTATATGTCCATACGTAAAAGCATGTTTCTCTAATTAACAGAAGGATATTGTGCATTTGGAAGGGCTACATCCGTTTGATAGTAATGGATATTAAGAGATCACTTCTGAGTGGCAGGCATATTTTTTTACCACCCCAGTATTCCTCTCCATCTGGATGTCTTAAGAAGAATTCCAAACACAAGAGATCCAATGTAAAATTTATTCTTTTCCACTTCAGACTTGTTCCTCTCTCAAGAGTCTTCAAGAGGAAAAAGCCATCTTTTGTGCAGTGGCCTTAGTCAGAAGCCAGGAGTTAGCCTAGGGTCCCCCCTGGCCCCTTCACCCATGACTGTAATAGCCTGGGCAAAAGTAACAGGAGCCTACACTAAGGGCCTTTCTGCCCTTAGTGTAGGCTCCTGTTACTTTTGCCCAGGCTATTACAGTTTCTGCCCCCTCCTGTCCGCACACCCATTAATGTCCCCATGAGCATGACATTCCCATGGTTCCTGGTGTCACACTCTTCAGGAGGCATCAGGCTCTTGAAGGCATGTTCCTGCTGACCTTTCTGACCTTGTCTTTGACCACATCTCCCCGAGCCAGCCACACGTTATCTGTCCGTAATTCTCCTTTTTGCCTGCAACATTCTATTTGTCTGTCAAACCCCTACTGTTTAAGAAGCTGCCTTTTTCATCTCAGTAAAATCATTCCTGAGTCCCTGTTACCCTCTCCGTGCTGTGTCTTGCCTCTTGTACCAAGAACCTCCTCCTTTCTACTTCCATGGAAACTCCTTTTCAACTCTGTCTGGAGACTTGATCCATGTCTGTTGAAAAGCCCACACTGTGAAGTCAGCAAATCTGGTTTAAATGTATTATTTATTAACTGTGTGACATTGAGCAATTTATATGACCTCTCTAGGTCTCAGTTTCTCATTCTCTAAGGTGGGGGTAACAATAATATGGTAAGTCCATAATAACAAAAAATAATAATAAGCATTATTGTTATTGCATCATTTTACTTTATTTTAATGGTGATTAATATGTCTGGTTTCCTGCATTGCCCATGAGCACGTGAAATCAGAATGTCCGTAACTAATTATTAAGCAATATTAACTAAGCACTTATCACTTCCTATGTGTATACATTCACTCATCCACTCATGTAATCCTCTTAATGTTCTGTCTGGATCTAAGTTTGCCTGACTCCCAAATCCATACTATGTTACCAACCACTTTCCTGGCTTTAATATCAACCTCTTTAAGTTCTTCCAATAATTTGGCAGTTCCATAAAAAT